GGACTGCAGCATGCAGGGTGGAGGTCAGACTCCCAACACTGAAGGAACGAGACACAGGAAGTGTGGCAGGCAGGGCCTCGACACAGGCAAGACTCCTGCTTTACCTGCCCCTCCTCCCTCCTCCTGTAAGCATCCCGTTAAGGCTCTGAGCTCTGAGCAGGGGTGTTCCTTGCCCAGATGCTGGGTCTTTGCTTCTTCCTAGCTGGTCCCAGAAGTGGCTGAGTGTTTAAAGGTGTGGCCTGGGCATCTGCAGGGCCACTGCAGCCAGGTGTATCTTCTCGCTGAGCCTTCCTCATGGTGTGAGTCTAATAAAATTTGTGCATGAGGAGGGGATCACTTGGGACTTTAACTAGGGCCCAGCTGGTCCAATTTGGGCACCCAACCTTGCTGGGTCAGCCAACTGATTGATCAATTGATTGATGGCTGACCAGTGAACTCCAACCCCCCAGGGAAGGAGAAGACAGCTGAGCCTAAGCATGGAACCCCTGGAAAGTGCACAGAAGTGATGCAGACTCTGTTCCGGGGCTTGGGAGGACAGCAAAGTCTCAGGGTACAGGAAGGATGAGGACTCAGGATGGGGAGTAATTGCCTGCCAGTCCAAGCAGGGCAGCATGAGCACCGGGGGACTCAGGAAGGACCCTGGACCCAGACAGCTGTGATGACCTGGGCACCTGCTGTCAGCCATGTGGACATGACCCTGATGCAGGACACCAAACTCTGGGCCATGCCAGGGCAAGGTGGGCCAGGCAGGCAGGCAGGCAGGCAGGCAGGCTGGGCCAGGTTCCCCAGGTCAGAGCTGGGAGTCAGTGGTCCCGCAACAGCTGCACCTGGGCCGGGGCGTGCAGACCCTGGAGGTGGTCCTCCCTTTTCAGCGCCCCCACCCCAGACCTGCCAGGGAATCGGCTGCGGGAGACATGGTTTGTGGATGCAGAGCCTGCAGCGGAGGCTGGCACTCACTTGGCCCACAGGTTGGCCCTGCTGGCTTCCAGCCCTTCCTGGGAGAAGCCCATGGCCTGGGGACGATAGCAGTAGACAGTGAGCCACACAAAGAGGAGCAGACCCAGGCTCACCCGGGGACCTGGAACAGAATGGGCCGTAAACAGCCACTAGCCCCTCGAGAGGCTGAGCCCCACCTGAGGGGGAGCGCGTGAATGGGGTCCTTGTGTCCCGGCTGGGTCTGTGGCTGCCCCCAAATTGAGACCTCAAAAACCATGTGGTCTGGTCACCTGTGTGTAGCAGCCTGGGCCTGAGTAGCCGGGTGTGTGTGTCTGACCAGATGGATGTGTGTGTGGCAGTGTGTCTGGCTATATACGTGTCTGCCTGACATTGTATGTGTGTGTTCCTAATAGTGCGCATATGTGACACACACACACGTGTGGTGGTGTGTACACACCTGTCGTGGTGTGCTTGCTAAATATAGTACACTTGAGTGTCTGATGAATGGCAGCGTACATGTGTGACAATGTGTTCCCATGTGTAGCTGGTGGTGTGTACCTTTGTGTGTGTGTGTGTGTATGAGCATGCATATACATATGTGATAGTGTGTATGTGTACCTGCCGGTGTCCACATGTGTGATGATGCACATATGTGATATATCATGTGCACCTACATACAGGTACCTCCCATCCTCATGGCTCTGTCCTCACAGTCTGAGTCCCAAGACTGCCAAGCAGAGTGACTCAACTTCCACCTCCTCCTGAGCCCCTGCTAGCTATGACCTCTCTTGTTCCTGCCTTGTCCCCTTCTGGACAGCCAGGCCCAGTGCCCTGCCTGCCTTTCTCCTTCCTTTCCCGGACCCCTCAGGTGGCTGCAGGGGGGCACCCTGGGGCAGGAGCCTGGACTACAGGCCAGGAGGACGTGGTGGCCAGAGTGAGAGCACTTTCCACATTTGCCGTCTCACTGCCCGGGAGCCCCTTCCCTGAGGGGAGTCATCACCTGCTCTGGGGCCCATGGTTGCAGGATGTGCACAGGTTGCTCTGGCGGGAAGGCGTGGGGTCTCGGGCAGCAGGTCTAGAACAAGCTGGAGAGGAGACAGAAAGCGATGAGGCCGGCCCCACAGTCTTCCCCAACCAGCTTTGGCCGAGGGGCACAGGCTAGGAGGGTGCCGTCCAGGGTCACACAGGATGGGTGCCTTGAGGGCAGGCAACCTGAGCTGGGCCACAGCTGTGTCTACCCGTCTTTGGGGAGGGGCACAACCCCACAAAAAATGCCTCTTTGCAACAAAAGGGAGCTGCTGAGGGGGAGCCAGGCCTTTCTTATCACAGGTTGGGGCTCAGGGGACCACAGGCTGTGGCTTGGAGTATGGTGTCTCCGATGAACAGATCTCTTCTTGAGTTACAGGGAAGGGGACAGCTGTCCCAGTGAGTCCCCACAGGCAGCTGCAGGAGAGACCCGGTGGCTACCCAACCTGCCCTGGGGTGGCCATGGCTTCACCCCCATACTTGGGTGGCCCACGCAGCTCTCTGTCCCTCTGTGGGGCTGAGACCTGGCCCCAGATACAACCCATGGTGTGGGCCCCTGGGTAGCCCTGGCTGTGGTGGGGACCAAAGCTGCGAGGCTTGGGGATGCAGGTCCTGGGAGGTGAGAAGCATCAGGGAGCCTGGCCACACTGCCCACTCCCTGGCACAGCCTTGCACAGTCTCACAGCTTGGGGTAACTGTGGGCCTCTGGATTCTACTTGGCCCAGGAGAAAGACAGGGCATTTACTACCCCACACAGGCGGGCAAAATGGAGGCTCAGAGAGGCTCAGCTACCTGCCCAGGGCTGCAGAGACCAGACTAGAAGCCTGACCTTGTGGGTCCAGCTAGAAATGGCCCCCACCCCGGCCCCTAGACCTCACCTGAGTACAAAGACCTTCTGTGGTAGCGGGTGGTGCTCCAGGACCAGGCAGCAGCCGTTGGGTGCAGAGGGCTGTAACCAGGTACCACACACTTCAGACACTAGCAGTCTCAGCCCACTGAGTGTGTCCGTCCCTGCAGCCAAGCCCTGGGGCGCAGTGGTGGTGCAGGGCTGGGGCACCGGGATCCCTGCTCATCTCCCTTCTTGTGCAGCCACCCACTCCTGCAGTGACGTCCACCCGGCCGATGCGCAGGGCAGGGGCTGAGGCTGTGCCAGGCAACGCTACTGTGTCAGCCCCTGGGGCCCAGCACAGCAGGCACCTGTTCCCAGCCCCAGGAGAGCGGGAGTTTGAGCACATGGTTGGCAGCTGCCCAGCATTCCCCCTTCCCACCGAGATGTTGTGCCTAGAGGGTTGTGTGTGTGTCCACACCCCCTCCACCTTCATTGTGTGTGCTGGTGTGTGTACACATGGGGCCTACACATGCATGCCTGGGAGCACACACATGTGTGCATGTGTGTCCCCTGCAGGGGTACTAGGCATACACAGACTCAAGGTGGTGCTTAGGTTTATTGATGTGTGTGGGTGCATTTCTTTTCTGTGGGTGCTGGAGCAAAGCCAGGCACGTGTGGCCATATACCAGAAGCAGAGAGGGTATGTGAGCACAAGGTGGGCAGCCTTTATGGTGGAGAGTGTGCCACACATACCCTGGGGCCAACCCACCAGGCAGGCCTGAGGCTCAGCAGGAGGGGTGCCTGCAGGAGTGACTTCCCCACCTGCCCACACCCGGGTCCCGCTGCTGGATGACTGCCATCTGCATCACATGGTTGTATGTGCCCAACAAGCCAGCCTCATGGCCAAGCAGAGGCACCGACCTGAGCCTGTGGGCCGAGAGCTGGAGGGACCAATTGTGGATCGCTCCTGGGCCGCACACAGGCCCCATGGAAGTCCAGTTTTTGGCTGAGGGCTTGCTAGGGCTCTACACACTTAGGGATTTGGGGGCAGCAGAATGTCATGTGGTAGTGGAGTCTCCACCCATTTCAGGGCTGGAGACTCCCACAGGTCAGAAGAGATAGGAGCAGGAAGCAGGCAGTGTGTGCGGGAGGCCACCCGCTGGCCTGCCCGTGGCAGGGCAGCCCCAGGCCTAGGCCACACAAATGACCTTGGCCACAGAGCAACCGCTAGGCTGGAGAGTTGCATCCTGCCCTGGCTCTTCCATGCAATGCCTCACTGAGTTGGCCTGGGCCCGTGGAACAGTTTCCATGCCCAGTTCAAAGATGAGGAAACTCAGGCCCAGAAAGGCTGAGCAACTTCCCTGTGGCCACATAGCAGAGTGGGGAGCACCATCAGACCCTGTGGCCAGGCTGGGCACCTGCGTGTGGGATGTGACAGGAGCATGGGTGTGAGGACAGGGGCAGAGAGTGGATGGGGAGAGGTGGGTCAGATCTCAGCAAGGAGGTGATGTGTCCTGATGTGAAAGAGTGAGAACTGGAAAAAGCAGGGTGTGCCAGGCTGGGGATTGGCGATGCTATCCCATCACACCCCTGGCCAGTCAAGCTGGGCACACCACAGGAACCATCTGGGCTACCAATTCCGGCACCCTATGGAACCTTCCCAATAAGGATGAGGAAACAGAGGCACAGGGAACAGGGACTGGGAGCTGGCTCTCTGCAGAGGCCCTACGGTGGCTGCTGCTGGCTCCACCCCAACTGAGTTCCTGCTGTGATCCCAGGTAGGTCTAGCTTAGGAGCCTCAAAACAGGACCTGTCACCCAGCAAGAGGAGTCCAGCTCAGCCAGGTGCAAGGGCATAGTATATGACCTTAGATTGGCTGGTGATCCAGGTGACAGCCCTCCCATGGCATTCTGACATGGTGGAGAGCCCTAACTAAGCCAATATAATAGCGGTCGGGGCAGGGGCTCTATTAGGGATCCTGGGAGACTAGACGGATGCTGCAATGCTTTCGGCTGGGAGGGCCAGGGATGCTCCAGCTTTTCCCCAGCAGGGCAGGCAGATGCTCACTGCACGGGGGCACAGCCTGGAGGGGAGTCCTGGCTCTTACAGGGGAGTTTGGGGCAAAGCTCTGTCTGGTGTAGGGAAGGGGGCAGAAGTCTGGGCTTCCCCCCAAACTCCCACATTAGAATTATTCATGGTTGTTCACAAGGTTAGTCACTGAGCTTTTATTTGAACTCCTGGAGCCCAGTCGTGCCTGGAGTGATACAGGCGTGCCATGGGGCACAGAGGTGGAGGCTGGGCTCCCCTGGCTCCCAGGCTGCAGTCTAATAATGGGTGGCTGTGTGGGAGGACCCCCCAGACAGCATTATGTCAGGTCACAAGGGACAGACAGACCCTCCCCCATGTGTGATGAGCCGGAAGTGGGTGGAGGCAGGAGGCCTACGGACAGAGTTTGGCAGAAGCCAAGACGCAAAGCAGGACTGGCCAGGCAGGGGACAAGTGAGGATTTGCAGGGCTCAGCGGAACTGGGGTGATATCACAGGGGGTCTGAGCAGAATTAGGAGCAGGGTGCTCTAAGGGTGGAGTAGGAGCCCAGGAGGAGCCTGCCCAGGAAAGCGCTGGCCGAGTTCCTTTTCCAGGGTGACCCTCACGCAATCTACAAAACTGGTCCTGGAGGTGAAGCTTTGAAGCCAGAAAAGCATTCTGGGATGACAGACAGGCCTAGGTTTCCCCTGGGGGCTGGTACCACCACCAAGAGCCCTTCATCTTCCATAATCATGGTTGCCTGGCTCCCCCTGCTGGCCCTGTCCGTTCTTTTCCAGGTTTGGCTGCTGCATTTGGGGTGGAGTCTCAGTCCTCAGTGGCTGGGACACCTGTGCCTTGGGATGATAGGATTAGGGTTCTGACCCACAGCCCCCATCCACTTGGAAGTTCCAGCCTGCACCCCAACACCAGGCCCATACTCTCAGTTGTCTGGCTCCAGTGTCCACTCTGACAACCACTGAAGGCATGAGGCCCGCTGTGCCTCTGTCTCAGGAGGAGTGGCAGGGTGTGGTGGGGGCCGGCCCGGCCCTGGCAGGCATGAGGAGGGGCTGCAGGGCCCAGTGTCCCCTTCTGTGGGCTTAGGGTCGTGGGCAGCCCGCAGGACCTGGACAAGCTGGTCCAGTGGCTGTACCAGAGTGTGGGGGCTCCAGCAGGCGTCGAGGGTGGGCACGAAGGGGTCCGGAGTGCGGGCTTCCACACACTCAGCCTGTGTGGGGATCCGCAGGTAGAAGGCATGTAACATCATGCGGAATGGTTGCTCCTCCTGACCCGAGGCCTGCCCATAGGTCAGGTCCCCCACAATGGGGTGGTTGAGGGCACTGCAGTGCACACGCAGCTGGTGTGTCCGGCCTGTGTGGGGAGAGAGGGCCAGTGAGACGGGGGTGCCACTCCACAATCACCATCCACCACCATTCACTGATCCTAGCTGCTAACCCACTGCCTCAGGCACTGCCCGGGGACAGCAACCCTCCCTGCTTCCTGCTACAGACAAGGGTAAAAGCTCGGAATGGGAATCAACTTTTGGGGTCACCTCTGGTGAGGGCAGAGCCAGGGTGGACTCAGTCCACTGGAGAACTCAGGCCAGACTTCTCACCGCTTCACATCCAGACCAGCAAGACCACTTGTAGATCAAGGGCTGCAGGTTGCAGAGTTAAGTGTTTGGGAGAGGATCAGCTTTGCTAGCAATGGCTGGGGTGGCCCCAGTGGGGCTACTCCGCCTCTGGGACTCCCTTTCCTTCCCTGTGTAACAAGGATGCTGCAAGGCACTGCTTGAGAAAATGCTGACATCAGGCACCTACCACACCAGGGGCAGGACACGGTCGACAGTGAGCGGCCTGGGGAGCTTCCTGGCCCCTGCTCCTGAACATACCTGTGAGGGGCTGCAGCAGCACTTTGGAGACAGGATCACCTGCATACAGGCCGTGTTCTAGGACCACCAGCTCCGTGAGGCTTGGTTTTGGGTTCTCACAGCCTGGTGAGGAGAAAGGGAGGCTATGAGGGTTGGTCAGGCCAGCCCTGGGGCCCCAGTCCATGCCAGCACAAGTCTGTTGTCTGGGGCTGGCCCTACTCACCAAAGGTCCCCCTGGGTGAAACATGCCCTGTGGCCCCTGCCCCCTTTCCCACTGTACCCTGGGTGCCCTCGATGCACATGGTGTGGGCCCGACCCTCTGTGTTGTTCCTGCCGATGGCATAGCTGATGGTCATCCGGCTCTCCTGGATGTGCCCCCGAACCTGCAAGGCAGGGGAGGCTCCCTGACACTCAGGGCCTGCCAAAGCAGGCTGAGCACTGGAGGCTCCATGCCCCAGGACTGGCCAGCCCTTACCAGAGCCAGGTAAGCCTTGGTGACACGCCGCTCCTTGAAGCACTTGTAAGCACTGCCTGCAGCTGCCTTATTTAGGGCCACACAGAGTGCTCCGCTGGTGGAGAAGTCCAGTTGGTGGCAGAACCTGGCACAGAGCAAAGGAAAAGAAGTGGCTGGGTTGGGGGTGGCCACTTCCCTCCAGTGGAAGCTGCCCTGAGCTGCCTGTGTTGCACTCCTACACACCTGAAGCCATAGTAGGTGTCTGGGTCAGCCAGCTCTGGAAAGTGGTGCCGCAGCTGCTTCTGGAGGGTCAGCGTCTCCCTCCACGTCTTGCTATCGATGCGCACGTCCCAGTGCTTGTTCACCACCAGGAAGTCACGGCTCTGGTACAGGATGGACAGGTTCTCCATGCTGCCTGGTTCCATGGCAGGGGCCTGCAATGCAGGGCAAGCATATGAAGTGGTGGTTCATGGGGTGACCAACCCATGTCAGGGTTCTGCCCAACGGGAACGGACAATTACTGCTCTCCCCAGTTCTGGATCTGAAGCCACAGAGTCTGTGTCAGGCAAGCATATGCACCTTCCCTGTGCCTGCATCCACTGGGCCCCTTACTACTCTCACCCCTGAAGCAAACAGGAGAGTCAGATACGACGAGAGTGTAGCCAAGGTAAGGGAAGCCAGTGCTGCTCTGACTATGGGGCAGTTCCGAAGTCCCGCCCAGACCCAGGCCTAGGGGGAAGCGGTCTTGCTCTCCAGCCCGTTCCCACCGACCCTTCCCAACAGATCAGGAGTGCGCGATTGGGACCTTTTTCTGAGTGGCGATAGGGTCATAGAGAGAGGTTACTACGCACCCCCCCACCCCACCACATCGGGGGTGGCACAAGTCAGCAAGATGCAAGGGTGAGGGGCACTGGGTGCAATCTACCTTTGCCCACCTACATTCCACTACGCAGGCACTCATCCCCTACCTGCTCTCCGCAGAAGCCCCAACTTCCTGCGTGTGTGGGCACAAGCCGAGGGGTTCGGAAGGACCACGACTGCAAGCTCCTCCCACGACTCCACCCACTCCGGAACCGACCTGAAGTCTGGCCCTGTCGTCAGGGCCCCGGATGCCGCAGACTTGCTCCGGATCCCGCCTTCGCGTCCCCGCGCCTTGCGACCAAAGGCCCGCGGACTACACGGAGCTGCGTTTCTCCGAGTCCAGCAAGCCCGCGCAGCCCCGCCCACGCTTCCAGACGGACAGCCATGAGGGCCAATGGTGAGGTCCCGAGACTTGCAGCTATGACTAACACAGCTCCACTCGACCTGCGCGCGCAGCCACGCTTACGCCCCAACCCGCCCACTGACCAATGACGAGCACTGTTCGGGACTCCGGCCGTTGATTGGCGGCGCTGGGACGCTGCAGGCGGGAGCGGCGCGCAGTGCTGTAGCGGGAGGTTCGGAGCGGATGGTGAGCCTAGAGGAGTCCGCTGGTCAGCGTGGCCATGGAGGACTACGAGCGGGAGCTGCACGGCGTCGAGGACGACTTCCACAGCCAGTTCGCTGCCGAGCTCGAGGTGCTGGCCGAGCTGGAAGGTGGGCGCAGGTTCCGCCGCGGCGAGGATGGGTACTCGAAGGAGGGCAGGAGAGCGACGGCTGGAGGCAGCCGTCACCTGGGGCGGGGGGCGCATCGGAGAGAGAAGGGCCTTCCAGCTTCAGGGCAGCTTTCTGTCGATGTTGGCTGCCCTGAGGTGGTTGCTGTGAATCTTCTCTCCCAGCAGGGACAGCGGCCCTATCACCATCCAGGGGCTGGCGGCGGCGGACGTTTGAGGAGGCCATAGCTAGAGGGGACGCTGCAGCTCTCGGCTCTCCAGTTGGACCTTCAGGGAACCGCAAATGCGGTGCCAGCAAGAGGCAGCTGGCCACTGCCGTACAGAGGGACAGATCCCCGCCCCTCAGTATGTCTGCAGTCCCCACAGGGTGGGGTGTGATGATGCAGGAGTGGGGTGCCTCTGTTTCTTCCCAGAAGTGTGTGTCTCCCCAGGTCCCAGGGTCAAGCGGCCCAGGCTGGAGGCAGTCAAGAGGTTGAACTTCGAGCAGGATGAGATGGAAGAGTTGCTCCTTCCTGATTCTCCTCCTCAGGACATCACCCCCCCACCGAGTCCTGAGGTCCCTGCTGAGCTGTGGGGCAAAGGGTGTGTAGCTTGGGCACAGGTGTCCCAGGTCATAGGAGGGTCTCATTCCTCAGACAGGTTCCCAAGCCTGGGGCTGCAGGCCTGTGGGAAGGATTGGTAGTAGAGGGTGGATCTGGTCCTCTGGCCTGAGGGTAACAGTAGGCAAGAGTCCCAAGACAGCTCTGTTTTTTTTTTTCTCAGAACTGTGGATGCTGAAGCTGACACGGGTCTCATACCAGCCTCGCCAGCCACTCGTAACCCGGTCCTGAGGCGACCCCCTGTCCTGGAGGACTACATCAATGTGACTTCCACGGGTGGTGACCGGGCCTTTCTGGTGCTACGGGCTGACCCAGTGGGCACTGGGGTACAGGTGGGTGCTGTTTGGCCATAGGGCTTGGCTAAGCTGGCCACAGCCTTCCTATGGGATTGGCAGGCTTCATGCTGCCCAGGAAAGGGTCCCGGGCAGCATATCCACACTGGGACCCTGGGGACTGCTCAGGGAGTTTACTTGACTTAGGAAGCACTCTCTCCCTCTCCTTTTTCCCCTTTTTTTCCTCCTCCACTTTTCTTCACTTCCCTTGAGCTGCCCCTCTCCCCAATAGCTCTTCCTCTTTGAGTCCCTGGTTAGAGAGGGAGCTCTTCCATCTCTAGGCCTGCTGCTGCTTGGGAATGCCACCTGGGTCTCGGAGCATTGTTGGGAGGGGTTCGTGGGTAGCCTTGTGTCCTACTTAGGAGGGCGTCCAGAGGTGACTGCTACTCTCGCTCCCCCAGAGCCCTTTCTTGGACATCCAGTGGCGTGGACGTGGCCAGCTGGATCTGCTGGGTGTGTCTTTCACCTCTCTGAAGGAACAGGTTGACAGTGAGGTGGGGTCTGCTGGGATTTGCTGGGAGGGGCGATGTAGTCCTGGGGTGACCGTGGCTGTCCGAGCCATCCTGATCGCAACTCCTCCTGTGCACAGCGACGGCAGCGATTACTCGAAGAGGCCCAGCGGCTCTCAGATACGCTTCACAGGTGATTCACTGGGTCCTTTTGCTCCTGGGAACCTCAATGGTTCTTGAACTGTTGACTGCCAGCCTGAATTCTGGGTGAGCGGTAATCCCTGCTGGAGTTGAGGCAGGGCAGCTCAGGGCACGGTGTTCTTCAGCCTCAGGACAGAGGAGGCGGAGCAGGAGGTCCCTGAGGAGGTGTCAGCCGACAGCCAAGACGACTCCCAGCACTGCCTCTGGGTGGATGAGTTTGCACCCCAGCGCTACACTGAGCTGCTCAGTGATGATGTGAGACTTTGTACTTGCTTAACTGACTGGCTTTCTTGTCGAGAGGAGGGAATTCAGGGTCCAGCCAAATAACATATTGCTTGCCCACGGGGCTGTCAGAAGGAAGGGCACGGCTCTGGTCTGCCTTGCTGAGTGGTAGGTGGGGAAACAGGCCAGCATAAGGCCAGCTTGCTGTTGGTCACCTATAACACAGGCTGGGGATCCATAGCACCCCATGCCTGGAGCTTCTGTTTTCTTTCCTTTTAGCAGCTGATGTCCCTGGGTGGGATGCTCCTGGGTATGGTGGGGGCTCCTGGAGGGGTCAGGACCAGGACTATGGGGATGGAGGCCCCTTAGTGAACCCCACTTTGTCACTCACCAGCAGGGTTAGTGAGTGTTGGTCGCTTGCTGCTCAGCCTCAGCTTCCATGTGCGTGTCCTTGGGCTTATGTCAGCTAGAGGGACAGATGTGGCGGGTCCCTTGCACTGGTGGTCCCCCAGGCAATGCCTCCTTTCCCACAGTTCACCAACCGCTGCCTCCTCAAGTGGCTGAAGCTGTGGGACCAGGTGGTGTTTGGCCAAGAGCGGCCGGCCCGGAAGCCCAGGCCCAGTGTGGAGCCAGCCCGGGTTGGCAAGGAGGCCACAACCACCAGCAAGTGGAAAAGCCATGAGCAGGTGTTGGAGGAGATGCTGGAGGCTGAGCTGGACCAGAGCCGGCGGCCCCGGCAGAAAGTGAGCCCTTCCTGTCTGCACTGTATACACCCCTGAGCCCGGGGTTATACTCACTGGCTGGTGCCTTTGTACCTCTGCGGGCCACCGCACATGCACATTTACTGCCTCCATGGCTGTGGGCATGATGTGTTGGTGTGGGGTGTCAGCGACATGAGTGGGACTTGAGTTGTTTTTTTAACGACTTAGGTAAAGTCAGTGTCTCTCGAAGGGCCCTGTGCCTCCCAAAGGGTGATTGTGATGGACAGTGGGTGGTTTTGGGGGTCAGTCACATCAGTAACAGATGTGTTCCTGTCAGGCCTCCCCGTCACTGGCTTTATTCAGGGCTTTCTCATTCTGAAGTGCTGCTTCTGAGCCACGAACATGCTGGGTCCTCACCTAGTGACAGGTGAGGTAGGGAGGACATTCCTCAGCACCAAGCCTCACAGGACAGGATTAGCAGCCTTGGTGGTGGGGCTGCGAAGACCTAAATGTGGTGCAGGTTGCATCTTGTCTTCGTGTCTTGGCTGCAGGTGGCGCTGCTGTGTGGACCCCCTGGGCTGGGCAAGACCACCCTGGCCCATGTAATAGCAAAGCATGCTGGGTACTGTGTGGTGGAAATGAACGCAAGGTGAGTGGAAGAGAAGGCCTGGCCTCTGGGGCTCTCGTCTGTCCTCACGTGTCTGGTTGAGTCTGGGAGACTGGTGGGTTAGAGGAGGGGCTGGGGTCCTCGGGTCTCTGGGATTTGGGGCAGCCATGTTGCAGGCTGTCCACTTGCACTAGCTTCAAGGTGTAAGTGTGGCAGCTTGGCCCTGGGAGATCATCCTGCCAGGGCCACTGGCTGCTGCCCTGCCCAGACCACAGCTGCCCTGATGGCCCTTCCCCTGCTCCACGGTTCCAGTGACGACCGCAGCCCCGAGGCCTTCCGCACACACATTGAGGCAGCGACGCAGATGGAGTCGGTGCTGGGTGCTGGTGGGAAGCCCAACTGCCTGGTCATTGACGAGATTGATGGGGCCTCCACGGTGGGCCTGGGTGCCTGACTGGTGGGTGGGCAGGCAGTGGGGACTGAGCAGAGGCTCATCACACCCTCTGCACCTTCCCCCAGGCTGCCATCAACGTACTCCTCAGCATCATTGAGCGCAAGGGCCCGAAGGAGGCAAAGCCAGGGAGCCTGGCCGTGCTGGCCGGTGAGGGGCGGCGGCTGCGGCCAGAGGGGGGTGTCTTGATGAGACCGGTCATCTGTATCTGTAATGACCAGTGAGTAGTTTGGGCAGGGGCGTGGATGGGGGCCTGAGGGTGTTTCACTGGGCGGGGCTTCCACAGGGGGGTGGAGGACCCTGGTGGATTTGAGGCTGGGATCTGGCAGGGTGGTTTCCCCCACACTCTGTGCCCATCCCGCAGGTTTGCGCCCTCTCTGCGACAGCTGAAGCAGCAGGCTTTGCTGCTTCACTTTCCACCTACAGTGCCTGCTAGACTCGTGCAGCGGCTGCAGGAGGTCTGTGGGGGTGGGGTGGGGTGGGGTGCAGAGCCCAGGCCACCTGTCTCATGATGGGGTGTGGATATGGCCTTCCCTCTCCTTCCCTCTTGCATCCAGGGCCCCATCTCCTTTGCTGCTGTCACTACTACTACCCCCTACCCCAGCTGGCCCAGGTCCTGAGGGTGAAGGGTGACTAGGCTACTTTGGTCTCTGGTGGTGGGTGGTCCCTAGCAGGGAACACGACCAGTTCATAGGGCATGCAATCATTGTCTCCTCTAGGACAAGAGCAGCTACTCACCTGTTTTCAGGGAGGACGTGGCCATAAGGGGGCGTTGGGAGGGGATGTGGATACCCATGCTCTCGTCTCCTGCAGATCTCCCTACGGCAGGGCCTGCAGGCTGACCCGGGTGCCTTGGCAGCCCTGTGTGAGAAGACAGACAATGATATTCGCGCCTGCATCAACACCCTGCAGGTGAGCAGGGGGACACCGGCTGTGGTGGGGAGGGGCAGGGGTCCATGACCTCTCACCTCCCACACCCTCTGTCCAGTTCCTGCACGGGCGGGGCCAGCGGGAGCTGAGTGTCCGGGCCGTGCAGACCACACGAGTCGGCCTCAAGGACCAGCGCAAGGGGCTGTTCTCCGTGTGGCAGGAGGTCTTCCAGCTGCCCCGGGCCCAGAGGTAGATGGGGCGACAGAATGAGCGGGTGGACCAGCCTCCACCTGGACATCCGTGGTGCCCTGGCCCCGGACACCAAACCCCACATGTGCAGTCTGGCCTCCCTTTGCCAACAGAGGCCCAGACCTGCCTGGGCCCTGCTTTCAAGGCTGTGCTTCAGCCTTCCCCACTACCCCTTCCTCGGGCCATCTCAGGTTGGGAGGGTGCTGCCAGGAGGAAGAAGTGGGTGGGGGCTCCACTCCAGCCTCAGCACCCCCTCTGCAGGAGACGTGTGGGCCAGGACCCCACTCTGCCTCCCCACACGCTCCTGCTGGGCGACGGGCTCACGGGCTCAGGGCACCAGGCTGCCGAGGCACCCCTGACCATGGCTGCAGAGCGGTTCTACCACATCCTGCATGTGGCCACCTCTGCGGGCGAGCATGAGAAAGTAGTCCAGGTAACCACACTCTACCTGAACCTTCTTCTCAGGGCATGGGGTGGGGGGTGTGTTCCTTTGTTCCCAGTGAATAGGAGACAGTTCAGGTAATGCCAAGCTCCAGGAGAAGCAGGTGGGGTGGGAGTGAGGCGGGGCAGAAACAGCATCAGGGAGCCCTCTGCAGGGACTGTGAACAGGGCAGAGGGCTGGAGGAGGGGCTGGCTAGTGTTAGGTAGTAGGGGAATGGCCACCAGCGTGGGCGAGGAGGCAGAGGCAGTGGGCTAGGGATGGGGGTGTGGGGCATTGATTGATGGGATCACTGGCTGCCAGTTGGGAACCAACAGGAGAGACAGCTGGAGCAGCTGATCAGCCGGATCCAGTGACCCGGTGGAGGGGGGGGCTTGATTCTGCACATGAGCTGCGGAAATTGGGACATGTGGGCTAGAGGGCAGGTAGGGATTTTGGTCTATCTGAGCAGGCGGCAGATATGTCCCTCTACCCCAAAAGCCCAACTCAAGCTGTCTCTCTAAGCTGCTTTGGGTTAGTGGTCAGGGACCCATGCAAATGCAGAAATCCACGGTGAGGAGGACAGAGCAGTAGCGGGAGGGCGGGACTTCCTCATGGGAGGAGAGTGGGGGCTCATCCCTCAGTTCTGTGGACAGAACTTCCTGTATGTAGGGGTAAGGGTGGGGGTTCTTTTCTGTACATCCCAGGTCTTGGTGAAACCAGAGTGGGGCAGCAGGTGGGCCCTCCTGGTCCTCCACTCGGTGATCTGTGGCCACTCACTGGCATTTGCTGCTGTCCTGAGACCCCAGACTCGGCAGGGCAGATGGGCAGTGCCGGGCCCGGTGAGGGCCCCCTATGGGGGAGCCACAGTGCTGGAGGGGCTCAGGGTCATACCGCCCACAGGGCCTGTTTGACAACTTTCTGCGCCTGCGCCTGCGGGACTCCAGCCTCGGCACCGTGTGTGTGGCCCTCGACTGGCTGGCCTTTGAGGACCTGCTGGGCCAGGCTGCCTACCACACCCAGAGCTTCCAGTTGCTGCGCTATCAGCCCTTCCTGCCCGTGGCCTTCCACCTGCTGTTTGCCTCCAGCCATGTGCCGAGGATTGCCTTCCCTAGCAGCCAGCAGGAGGTGTGCCCTGCACCCTGCCCCTGTTGGGGCTGGGCCCGGGCTCTGGGGGTGTCCTGCCTGATCTGGTTCTGGCTGTCCTCCACCCCAGGCCCAGAACCGGATAAGTCAGATGCAGAACCTGATCCAGACGCTGGTGTCTGGTATCGCACCAGCCACCCGCAGCCGAATGGCACGGCAGACCCTTGTCCTGGACACCTTCTGCCTGCTGCTGGACATCCTCATGCCTAAGCTTCGCCCTGTGAGTGCCTCACCCAAGAGGGGAGGGCGTGGCTTCCAGCAGAACTGGGCTCTTGGGTGTGTTTAGCATTCCTGCCTGTTGCGTACTTGCCCACAGGTGAGCACACAGCTGTACAGCGCCCGTGAGAAGCTGCAACTGGCTACCCTCGTGGGCACCATGCTTGCCTACAGCCTCACTTACCGCCAGGAGCGCACACCTGATGGGCAGTACGTCTACAGGCTGGAGCCGTGAGTCTGTGTGCCACCTGGAATGGGGGTGCCGGGGGGCTGGGCTGGGAGTTGGAAAGCGTCGCCTTGGTGAGGTGTGTGAGTCTCAGTGTCCCTATTTGTCAGAGGTTGGGGATTGGCGTCCCTGCTCAGCTCCTGCCCTCATGTTGACTGTGAAGTGGGCCCTTAGGCTGGGCAGAGCTCCAGGACCTCAGGTTTACTACAGAACCTCTCACTGCCTGAGTGTGCCCTGGGAGCTTCCCTAGAGGACCCTTGTGCTCCCGAGGGCATTGTTTCCTTGTCCTGAGGTGGCTGTGGGGATGGAGTGCTGCCCTGGGGTCCTGCTGCTCCCCAGGGCTCCCAGTGTGTCTGGGATGCAGATGCTCCTCCGTGTCGATAGCGAGGAGGCAGTGACGGTGGTTCCTGAGCACTGGCCCAGCCTTGCCACGTTGTCTCGTTCCCTCCCCGGGGAGGTAGGAGGTCCCGTCTCATGGCCACACCCAGTTGAGGAAACTGAGGTTCAGGGATAATCCCTTTGCTGGCCTGGGGCTGGGGCATGGCAAAGCCGTACCCTGCAGCTTTTGAATTCTGGCATTTGGTGGTGGTGTGAGTTGCCCCCGACCTCACCACTGAGTGGGTGCCCGGGTATCCCGCCCTGCTCGCCCTGAGCAGGAACTTGGAGGAGGTCTGCCGCTTTCCTGAGCTGCCTGCCCGGAAGCCCCTCACCTACCAGGCGAAGCAGCTCATCGCCCGTGAGATCGAAATGGAAAAGATGCGGCGGGCGGAGGCCTTGGTCAGAGATGGCAACAGCCCCCAGGTGAGCCCACCTCTGGTTTGGGCAGAGCAGGGCCTGGTAGGGCAGTGCCTTCCGAGTGGACACTGCCCTTGGACTGGCCTTGCCCATCATCTCTCATTGTATCCACTTCTGCAGGCGGACAAGAGTCCCCCCAGGGCCAAAGATCCACAGAAGGGTGCTGGGGGAAAAGAGGCACAGTTACCCACTCCACGCAGCCACGAGCAGCGGCTGGAGCGCATCCTGAAGAGAGCAGCCCTGGAGGACCAGGTTGGGGCCCAGAAGGTGGCCGTGCGGGTGGGGCTGTGCGGCCTTGGTGCAGCCCAGTTCTAAGCTCTGAGTGCCCACGTAGAGGTGCAGCTCCCCTACCACTCGACAGGGCAGGGTTTCACCTGGGCTCTGTTTCCCACCTGGGCAGGAGGGTGGGCTCTACTGGTACTTCCTGCCCTGGCCCCGATGGAGCTGGCAGCTGTGAGGGTGGTGAGGGACAGAGGGGACACTTGCCGAGCGGGGTAGCACAGAATGAGGGGAAGGGGCTGGGGGAGGTGTCTACTCCCCACCCTGGGCTGCTGTCCGGAGGTGCCGTGAGACCCATTCTCCCTGGCAGAGCTCTCCCCTTGCGGTGGGGCGTGTCCTCTGTCTGTTCCCATGAGCCTGACCACCCTCCTCTTCAGACCGAGAGGGACTTCTTCGGCCGTGTGGTCATCAAGAGAGCAGCAGCCCTGAGCGCAGGTGTGTGTGGGGTGGGAGCTGTGGAGGGAGGGTCTGGGCCAGGCACAAGACCAACCCTGTGGCCCCACAGAGGATACAGCCCCAGAGACGGATGCAGTGGAGTGGCGCATGGGCACTGCGGTGGGCAGGAGCGACGTCTGGTTCCGCTTCAAAGAGGGCGTCTCCAACGCCGTGCGACGCAGCCTGCATATCAGGGACCTGCTATAGCTGAGTCACACCAGACACCCCAGGCCACACTCGACCAGGGTCATGCCTGGTGCTGTGGTCCACGTGGACACCCAGACCCATGCCGATGCCCAGATTTACACCGGATGCCCAAGTGTCCCTCCCAGATAACCTGACGTCTGCATCTGACCCCAGATCCACACTAGACGCCCAGCATTGCTTTCTCTGTTAGAAAATATACAAAAGCACAGACACCCCCAGAAGTCTTTATAAAAGTCACACCTTTACAGAGTTGTCCTTTTCACAAAGAGGCATGAACCCGGGAGTGTGGGGGGTCTCATAGGATGGCACACTTGCCCTTTTCCACCCACGGGTTGTTCTTCATGAGATCAGGGTTCAGGAAGGGGTCTTTGGGGATGCCATCCTCAATCCACTTGAGAAGCCTGTGGGTGGGGAGATGGGGTTGAGCAGGTGGGCAGCAGGCCCCGAGAGCTGCCCAGTGGCTGTGAGAGTGATAGATCTTGGCTTATGCAGATGAGTGCAGGGCGGGGAAGTGATATGCAAATCAGCAGCCGGCCCTGGCTGGGGTGAGGCTGAGGCTTGGTCTGGGGACTCACTCAGGAATGGTCTTGGATGACATCTCCCTTTTGAAGGCCAGCTGATACTTGAGGCTCTCGACCTCCTTCTTCATCTGGGGCACATCCCACTCCTCCATGGCGTCGGGGGCTTCGGAAGTAGCCAGCCTGGGGTGGGAAGACATGGGAAGAAGTAACAGAGCCTCGGGGCTGTTGGCCTTTAATTTCCCCCAGGTGGTCCCTCTCCACTGGTGAGACCTCCACACAAAAGGAGGGAGGGGCCCATCCTTGCACACTAACACCCAAACCGCTGTCTGGGGGTGTCCCTGGGGGCTACACCACCAGCTCTGGTGCAGTACGGGGTGCAGGGCCTGGATGTGAGGCCCCACTAATGAGGTCCCATGTGCCTGGACCGCCCTGCCCCAAGGGGCTAATTAACTGCAGAGGGAACTTTGTACCCTTGGAGCTGCATCCTCATCCAATCAAAGCTTTACCAAGGCTGAGCCTCTGGGTTGCAGAGGTTTGGGGCACAGTCTCTGCTGGGGAGGTAGCAGGACTGGCACAGCACAAACAGGTTCCCAGGAAGCTATACCAGTCCCCCCACCTTCCAACTGTGAGGCCCACTCCCTATTCCTGGTTGCAGAGGTGGAGCGCAGACTGTCATGTAAGGGGCGGGACCCTGCCTGGCCCTGCCGTGAGCCTCCCGTGCTTTGCATGGGCAAAGCCCCCACTGAATGCAACTTAATCCCTGGGCTAGGAGATTTGACTGCACTTTGCATCTCTGGCTGGGGGCTGGGGATGTTGGGGATCTTGGGGGATCAGTAGATCCAGACTCGGAATAGGTACGTCTCCTGTTGCCCAGTGTCTCCCCTGGAGCTTCACAAACTGCATGGGCTACTTTGTGAACCAGCTTGGTAAAGCCATGAGTCCCCCAGGAGACCACCCAGTTTGGGACACGTGAGGGCAAGTCACTTGTTACCTCCCCACTCCAGCGGCCCAGGGAGCCTCATTACTTCATCCCTGATTCTGGGAGCCAGGGGACTGGCTTTCCTGACTGGGAGCGTGGGCCGGGAGGCTGCAGGCTGACAGGAGCGTGACCCTGCCTGCTGCAGATGGACGGTCTCCATCCTGGGAGGAGGGGATGGCCCTGGTCTTTGTGGTGGTTGGGGAAAGTGGCCAGACTGGGAGCAGCTATGGGACAGCCGGGAGCGAGGGTGAGAGCCCAGGGAGGTGGCGCAGCTCTGACGGGCATCTAAGAGGGGGTGTGCAGTGGCTTCTCTTCCAGAGACCCCAAGTTTCAACCCCCAGAGCAGGCTCTCACGTGGACAACTACGTGCATTAGGGGGGTGCGGGGCATTGCAGTCTGGAGGTGGCAGTGGTCCTATACACAACCCCCTTCGCTGCCACCTGGCCCTACCTGTGTGCAGCTGAGCCCGGCTTTGCAGCCCCATGCACCCTGCCTGCCCCTCAACTTGCACCACCCCCACACAGGTACTTGGCAGGCACTGCAGGGGCGAATTCTGCTCCCCTTCCTGTGGGCTGCCCCACCCTACTCCGCCCGCAGACAGAGGGGTCCTCCTCAGCATTTGGCTTGGTCCCTTGGGATACTCTGCGGCTGCCCTGGGCTGAAAGACACACAGGCAGAGGTGTCTCGTCTTGGGTTAGGTCTGTCCAGGTCAGCTCAGTGAGACCAGGGCAAGTCTTGGAACCCCGGGCCTCAGTTCCCCGCTCAGCCTCAGGGACCACCCGTCCATCAGACCTACCTTGGGCAGTGATGGTGAGGGAGAAGTGATGATGAGGGCCAAGTGATGGCAAAGTGACAGCAAGTACTAAATGATGGGTGAGTGAGGCTGGCACACAGGCAGAGCCCAGTAGGTGCCGCCCACTCCCGCCACCTGGGGCCCAGCCCTGGCCCCGCCCCCACCCTCCACCCGCCCTCCTCAGGGCTGAGCTGACCCTGGGGACTTGGCCTGGCCCTGCTAGTCTCCAAGAGTGGGAGATGCAGGGTGAGTTTAGCTCTGGCCCTGAGAGGTGGGGCCCTCCTTCCTGGCCCCTCAGCTCTCACAGCAGATGCCACCCAGGCCAGAACTGTACTCCCTTCTCAGATGGTGCCCTGGGCATGCCCAGTGGGCCCGCTCCTGTGCCTTACTCTAAGGGAAGCGGTGCCCCCAGGGCCATTGGGTGACGCAGGTGCCAGGCTGTATCCTGAGCAGGCTCCCAGGTAGCAGAGCCCAGCTCTCCAACCAAGTTCTCTAAGGAGGCTGGACCTGAGGCTCCCCAGTTGGGGCAGGCGAGGCCTGGACCAGGTCCTTAGCAAGTGCTCCTGTGGTCTCCCCTGGGCTGAGGGCCTGTGATCAGCCATTCTGCCCCACCTGGAAGGCAGGAGGGGTGCCCCTGCCCCTTCAGACACCAAGGTCCTTCCTGTTGTGATTCTGTAAAAGGAGCCAGTGATGCCTCCTGGTCCCTCGAGCCTGTACCCGATGGCAGATCAAGAGGCGCTCTGGAACTGGGGCATATCGGGGAAAGTAGGGATTACTTTATGGATTTGGTGGGGGCGAGGGCTTAGACCCAAGGGCGTCCTCGTTCTCAGGACAGATGGCCACAGTGCTGGCTTCCCTCCCCCCCCCCTTCCCCCCCATGCCCCAACCGCCTGGGGCCTGCGCTCACCTACCTGCCTGGCCCCTCTGGTACCGTGACTGAGCTGCCCGGGCCTCTCCTGGGACTGGGGGCTCTGCTCACACTGGTAGGAGGCTGAGGGCAGGGGTTCTTGTCAGTCCCCAAGACTGGCTCAGGGTTTGGACTGAGACCTAGGCTGCGTAGATTCCACTGCCTCATCACACCTTCCCCTTGGCTGGCACAGTAGATGGGCGTCCGGGACCAGGCTGTGGCCCGACAGTATCCCAAGAAACCCCCCCGAAAGAGAAGCCCTGGTTTGATCTCACCAGGTGTGGACCATTGTGCTTGGCTCCAGGGGCCTGCTTTGCAGGTGCTGTTTGGATTCTTCGCTGTGGAATGAGAAAGTTCTATGTGATCTCAGTGCCGGAGTTCTCCGGGATGTCCTCGGCTCGGCATAGCCGGGCCTGGGCCTGCAGGGGAGCTGTGTGGGGCGCAGCACTTCCCCGCCCGCACGCTGGAACAGCCTCTGGTGCAGCTGTGGAGACACCTGGGGTCAGGAAGCGGTCATCGAGCTGACTCAGGCGGACCCATGTGATGAAGGCCACAGCTGTTTGGGGGCCGAGCTGGAGAATGTCTGCTTGTGTGAGCTTATGAAGCTGCCCCCAGGTGAGAGTTGGGGAGCCCTGTGACTCCTGTTCCCCACCTTCCTGGGAGGTGGACTGGTGGCCCCAAACACATCCAGGTCCAGGGCCCCTCTCGCTGGAGCCTCCTGTGGGGTCTGGGCGGGTGCAGAGTGCTCAGAGGCCCTAGGATTCATTGTGGGAGGAGGAGGCTCAAAGAAGCAGGGGCAGCTTGTCCTCCAGCTGAGTGCCAACACACAGACTCCCAGAGTGGGTCCAGGGAGACAACCGCCTTTCTGAAATTAGCTCCAGTAACTGGGCTGCTGGTGAGAGCCAGCGGAGCTCCTCGCTGGCCTAGAAACGGCTGCTCCAAGCCCCAGGCTTGCAGAGGCCCCTCATGGGAAAGGTGATTTGGGCCAGGCCTCCCAGGGGGCGTGGCAAACATAGGAGGCAAGGGCAGTGAGGCCCTGTGGCAGTGATGCTTTCTGCATTCAGGAAGAATCAAAGCACGTGCATGGGTTGCTTTGACGCCTTCTGGGCAGGGTCCTGAGGAAGGCTCAGAGAGGAAGGGCAGGAAATTGCCCAACCAGACAGGACCCACACACGGGTGCTCTCCCCACCTGTTCCCAAGGTGGCTCTGACCTTCGGCCTGTCTCTCACCAGGTCACCTTTGAGCCACCCAGTGCCACGCCCAGCTGCTGTCAGCTGCAGCTCCATGTGGGGGCACAGTGCCTCTTGGGTTCTCCAGAGACTGGCCCCTCATGCCGTTGTTGGGAAGGGCTTAGGGATGGAGGAGTGACTCAGGAGGCCAACTGCCACGGCCATGGCCTGACGCCAAACGGTCCACCAACCCCAGGGGTGCAGGGCCTGGGTGCCTCCAAGTGCAGACACCACGTTTGCCGTAACTGGACAATGTTCCCCAGGCTGGAGGAGAAGCTTACTGTCTGGAAGTAGGGCTGGGGTACCTGCAGGGCCAGTGAGGTCAGGGGGGCATGCTGTTCCTGGGTGGGGCTGCAGCCCAGGACAGAGATCAGGACGCCCTGTGACACAGGTGCTCAGTGGGTGTGGCCCGAGGGGCCCCTGTCGGGCTTCCAAGGGAATGTGTGAGGCACATCTGCCTGGTGATGCAGGAGGGTGTGTAGGGCGAGCACTGCCTCTGTACAGGGACAGGTTCCTGTAGCGTACCCTCGGGGCCTGCTTCATGACGGCCCGGCGCTTTACTGGGGGACTTGGGCCAAGAAGCCTGGGTTGAGCTCGGCAGGTTCGGTGCCCTTCTGTGGACACCGATCAGACAGGCACAGACACAGTCAGAAATCGGGGTGCTGTTCTGAGCAGCTTGTCACCCTTGCAGACCACACCCCCTTATCGCAGCTGTAGAGGTCGTTTCCTGTGGGGATGCTGCTTGGTCAGAGCATCCTCAGGTAGTTCTGGAAGTAGGCGGGCGTGAGCTGGCAGGTGGCGCAGCAGGCTGGGCTGCTCAGGGACACCAGGGGCCTGCAGTCAGCACGGCGGAGTCCCTGCACCGCGCAAGTAGAAGGGGCTCCTGCATCCTCGGGTGGAGGGAGGAGGGGCTTCTGAGGAGGGGCACACACCTCCCTGCACAAGCCACTTGGGATTCATTGTGACAACTATCATTTGGACTCAAAGTCCATGTAGACTTGAGAAGAAAGGGGACATGTGTAGAGAGAAATCAGCTCCTTTCTCAGCCAATGGCATTTCACACCTTACGGCTTTCAAGCAGCAGAGGAGTTCTTTGTACCTGAACCGAGGCAGGAAGAGGTAACCCTGTCACCAAGACACTCCTGAGGACCCTCGTGGCTACTGAGTGGGCGTGTGGGCTTTGATGGCCGTCATCCCCAGTGCATAGGACAGCGAGAGGGAGGAGACCCCTGGGAGACACCAGCCTCTCACCCTGAGCGGGTGCAGGCTGGAGCCCCAGACTTCAGATAAAGTTGGGGCCATGCAGGCTTTAAATTACGTGGGAAAGCTTTGGATGAAAACATAGCAAGTCGTTCTTGATAATGTCGCAGCAGGGAAGGCCTTTCTAAGAAGGGCCCAGAACTGGGAACAGGAGCTAAAGAGTTCTAAAGAAATAAAGAGTACATACTGGAAAGAATGGTGGACAGTAAGGGTGCGAGGTGTTTGCTGCCTTCACAAACCAGCATGGTAGAGATGAAACCACAGGAAAACTGGCAAAACTCCTGGATGCCAGGACTCTCCCCACCCACCCCTGTGTCTGGAAGCCCGAGAGCACCCCAGGGTGTGTGTGTGGGGGAGCTAAGCCATACCATGTGCAAGAGGTCACATGGGGGAAGCGGGCAGGGAAGGGCCAGAGGAGCTTCCCCGGACCTCGGTGCCGACTCTGGGGCTCAGAACAGCAGGGCGGGTAGGGGTGAAGAGTTGGCCCACCCAAGCCTTGCCCAGGCCACAGATTTTCGTGAGGGCTAGTTTTATAACTGACAATGTGTAGAGCTCCTGGTACTGCATGAACCCCAGCTCGGGAGATGAATAACCACCATGAACGTGAGGGGTCCAGACTGCCCAGAACAGCCCCTGGGCCAAGGTCCCCCAGCAGGGGACTCTAGGACACCATAGCCAGAGACTGTGCGGACTGCTGCCGCCTGGCGCTGGCAGGCGCTGGTCAGGGGCGGGCAGGCGCTGCCCAGCGCTGGCAGGCAGGACAGGCAGAGCTGCCCCTGTGGTGCCCCCACAGAGCTGCACCTGGGACTGAATTTGAGAACTTACTGCCCTGTGCGGCTTTCCAACTGATCCTGCTTGGCTCTGCTGACAGTGAAAACTTTCCAGAGAAACTCCTGGTTTCCATTCTTTTTCAGTTGTCTAGTAATGCTTTGGCCTTTTAAAACTGTGGTCAGCAGCACGTGGTCCCACAGCACAATGTTCAAACTGAAAAGTGGACAGATGCAATAGGTCCCAGGAACGAGTCTTCATCTTCTTGCTCAGGGATGGTGAGCACCCAGGCCAGCAGCGCCCAGGCCCTGCCTTCAGCTCCACTGCTGGCTGCTCCACAGGCTCAGAGAATGCAGGCAGTGGGTCCACTAGAGCATCAGCCCACAGTCAGCGCGGAAGCCCACCTGCCCGCCTACCTGGGAAATGCGCTCAAAGAGTGAGCAGAGGCTACAGCAGGGCCCACTTACCCAGGGAGCTGGGTGCACAGTGAACCAAGTGCCTGGCCAGTCAGGGTCAGCATGCATGTGGAGCAGACAGACAGGGCCGCTGGGCCAGCCCACCATAGCCCCCAGAGTTTTAAGCCCCCTCCTACTCACTCACCAGTTTGTGAAGCTGAAGCAGTGTGAGGGGACAGTGAGGGGATTAGGGAAGAGAAATCGGGGAGGGAGACTGACTAGAAGAAGCAGGTGAGCTTTTCACTCAGAATTTGGGGGAAATCACTGAGCACCACTGTCTGCTGGAGGTGTCACGTAATCCTGGGCTAGTGAGGAAGGGCTGGCGCTGGGCTTCAAGTGGGCCACAGTGACCATCTCCTGTGCAGACCATGAGCAAGAGTGAGACAGAACCCTGGTGAAGAGGGCCCAGGGACCTGCCACTTGAACAGTCAAGAGGTGCCTCCTCTGCTAGTGAAGGCCAGGACCCTCCTCCCGCTGCCTCCTTGGACCACTGCATTC